AAATCTTTTACTTTTTCTCTTGTTTCTTTGCACTATTATAAAAGCGTAACAAGCAGTCACTTAGTGTTGAAAATTGTATTGTGTAGGAGAGGCAGTGGTTAATTTAGAGTCGTTAGTTGAGGTGAAGGGCGCTGACGGCGTCCGTCGGAAGCGGCTAATGTGCCTGTTGCGCTTGACTGATGGCCTGGGCTCGGCGCACCCCAGCACGCTTCACGGCTAGCACGGACCTGTCTGTCTACGTCGGAAATATTGGTTGTCATGACACGTTCAACGCCGATGACGACGACAAACTTTTTTCTAATACCTCATTGAAATGCAAAAACCCTTAGTGATGTTAAGTCGTTAAAAGTAATTGTACTTTTTTTTAAACACATCGAGAATCGCTTCATTTACGCGCAATGAATTTATTTCTATTATAGATGGCACAACTATCTAGTTGATGTCCTACATGTTTTACGTATAACTACAGAGTTGAAATATTGAAATAATTTGCAGTGTTTTCTATTGTATTTTAAAGATAGTCATGTGGGGCATGAGTACGCAAGTTGTGTATAATCTCTAGAAAATCGATAACGACGCAAGACAAAATAGAAAACCATTATGTTAAAGACACGTTCTGTGTCCAAAGAGATAATGGTTTGTGCTCTAATATTTTAAAAATAATTTGAACTGCGGACACTTACCCGATAAGGACATTTTACCCACTTGACCCTGAATTTATTCACACCAATTCAACCAATTAAGTTGAATTCATACCTCATTCTTTTTTTAAGTACCAAAGTTTTCCTAATTAGATGAAGATCTTATCTTAATTTTATTTAATGCATTACCTTGTATTAAATTATGCTGATTTATTGATAGTTTCAAATGCCTTTAGTAAAGAAATCATAGCATTTTGATTTATTGATTCACGGAATACAGTATAAAAAATTCAATAAACTTAATACAAAATAATTCAAACGGATTTTTAAATAATAAACTCATAATTCAATGTTAAATTCAATTCTTCACATGACAAAAACAAAGTCTGCCACGTCCTCTATGTGGAATTTCATACAGAGTGGTAAGTGTAAGTTTTACGCTAACGCGTTCACTAGTGAGCGCGTTAAGAATTTGTATGGAGATTTGTAGTTCTTGTTAGTTACCGCTAGGGGCGCTGTACCGGATTCTTAATGCGCTCACGATCGACAGTGAACGTAAACGTCAAAAAAACTTACACTAAGCGCTCAGCTCATTATTCAAATGAGTTAAGGAATTCAGCAATGATATTGATTCAAAGATAAACACTGTTTATTCAGTTTAGGCTTCATAAGCTCTAACTCCAGTAACTAGTGAGCCGAAAAATAAACTTCATTGAAGAAACTCATGAGTAATTCAGGTTTTAGACGAATCAACTGAGTACATAATTAGGTACAGTTTTATATCTTCAAATTAATACAAGAAGAATACGTCTAATAGATTTTCTGGGAAAAAGCTAATTTAAAATTGCCAGCTTGTAATAAAATAAACCGCAGTAATATGCCTTCCAGATGTAAAATTATATTTAAAATTGTTACTATAATTCAGATCTATATACAGTTATAAGATCTATATAAAATTATAAAGTTTATATTCTTTCCATTCCTATTTTAAAAACTTTCCTTGATTTTTTTTAAATTCCTTCTTTTTACAATTCGTTCTTTAAATATTATATCCTATTTAGTACCACAACAATGGGGTAACTACTGCAGATACAACCGGAACTAAAGGCATGTTAACTCGCCACTGTAGTTGCTGAAGTGTAAATTTAACGGATTGACATGTCTGCCGAAGCACAGAGGCATTCGTGTTAATAAATTTATAATCGCCCATCTGACCCTCCTTTGTGTAAGAAAATACTATAGCTATCATTGATCGCAAATGCAAACTCGAAATTTTATTGTGCTGATACATAAGATTATAATACGCTGCGCTCTTAAAAATAGTTCATGCAAAATTATAATGATAAATTACATTTGCCTTCTTATCATTTCGGTATTATTATTATGTCTATATTATTATTAATCGTAAATAACCTATTTTTAGAGGTCATTATAATGTGTATGTTACACTAAAATGTGTCGCAACCATTTAGCGTACAAAAACGATGTTTTAGTGACAACGTACTTAGCGATATTGTTTGACGAATAATTATAGCGTTAAGTATAATATACGCGCTATATTTATTTAACAGTAACATATTTCATAGGATTTATATATAACGTCGCAGAAATTCTAACGGAAACAATATTCAGATAAACATACTTTGATTATAATGTGGTAATAAAACCGCATTGTATGAATAAACACATAGTGCTCTAAGACTCGTGTAACTGTAAATTTACTAGTTATGGAAGGCTGAACAACGTTGTGTAACTATGCTCGGATGAGAGATGCGAGAAAATTTCTAGAGTGTGATCAAAATAATCAAATGTTGGGGTTGAGGGCAAACTAACCATTAGACCGGGCCCTGCAAACATGAATCGGAAGTCGGCCACACACAGCGGAAATGGCAACGCATACATGATTATCGACTACACTGACATTTTCGGAAAGAGCTAAAGTTTCTCTCAGTAACGATAGAAAATAGTTTCTGGTCTTATTAGTAGTGTAATTAGTAATTATTGACTTTCAAATAAATTTATTTTTTACTTAAACTCGAACCGATTTGGCTAATCGTAGTACAAAAATAAAGAATGAAAGTTCAAGGAATGTGGAAAAGATAATAAAATATGAATAAATTGCAAGGGAAACAGTAAAAGCAACAATTTTATTTTCCCATACAAAGTATTCATATCTGCCATAAAAGAGGCGTTCAGAAACTAAACATTATTTTAACTTGAGGCGATATTAAGTTATCCAGCCTTTTGCACATCAGTGTAAGTATCAAGCACTACCCCTGTTGCAAATATTATATTCGTTTCTGGCCTCTAGATCAGAAACTTAAGAAAATTAAGCTTTCTATATCAATTACATAAATTTCCTAATTCGTTATTGCATAGTTCGTTAATTTGATCCACGTTTTGTACTGATGGGATATATTTTTTCCTGCCTCAATGAAAAAAAAAACCTTTTCCTATTAATGGAGTAAGAGTTTTCATGATTCCGCACGAAAACCAACATTATTGACATCGTGATTACTATTCTATAGGATCGTTTGAACAAAACGAAAATATATTAATGAGCAAATAAAAGCGAAAACACATAGTCTATGATAAAACGGCATAACGTGTAAAGACGTCCCGGGTTATATTTAGAAAGTTTTGCGGACGAGTAGAGATAAATAAAAGCTGTGTGCATTAACAGGGGTAGCACGTACGACCTCCTCATGACACGAACCCGAGTGATGGAGCAAACCTTTGGAGACCAAGAGATTGTAGTGTCTTGACTCAGCAACTCTAGCGAGTCTATTAATATAATGAGCCATGGGAGTATAAAATAGAAAGGACAACGCGATCACAACGAAATATAAATCGAAATATTAGAAACAACATTTCGATTAAATTTTTAATAATTTTTTTTTAATTATGCTTGAATAAGAAGCAACAAAAATAAAATAAAGAAAACCGAAAGTCTCTACTTTAGATAATAATAATATTTTTCAAGTATCCTTAGTCAACTAAAACATAAAAGAGATTCTATATTAGATGGTCCGTTCATCTATCATACTCGTTCTATTCTGAACTAATAGAATTACATAGTTGAAACTACGTATTCTTTAATTTAAAAAAAATGTAAGTTCACGAATAGTTCGTAGCACTTGTTGTGTCTAGATAGACAGGATGGATTTATTGAAACGAGATCATCATTTACAAATAATATATTAGATCATTTATTGGTCTCTGAAAGCCGCAAAATGAGCACACACCATACGGTAAGTTTCATCTTTAACCCTTTAAATGATTATACTTTACCGCTTAACCATTAACGAGAACGACTTTTTTAAATGTTTGTACCGTTCAACTTTTTCATTTAATGTATATAGTAATACTTTTATAATTTTAATTTAAAATCACTTATACGTATACATACCTACCCCACTACATATTTATTAAACTATTTTGTTTAATTTTACAATTTAACTTAAACATTATTTCTGGAATCGATAAAGAAAATATACCCAAAAAATAAAATCGAATATTCCCAGAACAGTTTTTCTTGTGGTAAAACCTTCATATAATATTTAAAGGCCCATAATCGTGTTATGTTGGTTTTGTAGTAAGCCTTAGATTAGAGCTAGGAGACGGTTATTACAATATTGTTGATATGTACGCGAGCTTATTTCTAAGAAGGCGATTTATGACCGCACTTAACGGGCTTACCGTAGGTACAAAGTAAGAGCACTTGGATGCCCGAAAGTATTAACAAATTAATTTCATGCTCAGCAGGATTCTCAAATCATAATATTATATTATTTTAACTAACTAACCAAAGTAATGGTATATCGATCGAATCGCGAACACAAAAAAAAGTATTTTTTTACAATGGAAAGAAACTGCATATTCGTATTAAGACACTTTCTAGTGTATATTTGATTAAATTTACATTCACAATACTATACGGATAAATATTTTTAATGAAAAATTTTTCATTAAAAATCTTTTTATGAAATAAAAAAGGGAGAAAGAAGCAGCCCTTTGTGAGTTTCTAGCGGGTTTTTTTCAATACAAGGCCTCCCGCCGTATATTTACGAACCAATGGCATAGCTTTCGACGTTCACAAGTTGTAATAGGCTAGACTAAGGATGGCGAAAGAATGACACGTATTCCATTAATAGCACGATCACAAAATTAATTATGCACAAAGAAAAAGAGTCAAAATTATTTGACGTCACGTCAATTACATCATTAAACCTTTCATTTTATAACAATTAGAAAAAAGGCACGCTGATACGTAAAAGTTCACCATCCCTTGCCTAGACTGAATAAATAATATTGAATTTGAACTACCCTATAGATAAATTATTAATGAATAAAGTTTATTTATAACTCGTATGACACATTTGTGATGTCACTCAAATACACGACGTTCGATAAGTCGGGTGCTAATCGTGTCAACGCCAGAGGGTTCGCACGTGCTACGAACAATGCTTTACGTGTCATTGTCTCCACAATATGCGTAATCAACTAGAACTCAGTTGTGAATCAGGGTTAGACCGCATTATATTTTCAACCGAGGTGTTGCCGACGTGGTTTGAATGCATTCGTTATCACTATTCATCGAACAGAGACATCGTGTATAAAGGAACTTGGTAATAATTGATAATTTATTTTTATAAATAAAATTACAAAATAAAAAATGTTAGCTAAGCAGAAAGCAAAAGCAGGTCCTCATAGATGGACTTAGTATGAAAGTAAACCGCTAACAATAAGTAACTCATAACAATCATAATCATGAATGTGGTACTTTCGTTGTCTCATATACTCCATAATACAGGGGCTTCAGCTACTCATATTGGAATCTGAGCAATATATGTGATGTTATTAATTATTAATATTTTAAAAATTGATGTTTCGCTAATGTTAAATAGATGGATGTTTATCCTCTTTGATACTTCATTGGATAATTTACACGCACGTCATACATAAGAATTTAATTTGAAGAAATAGGGGTAAACATAATAAAGAATCGAACCTGAGTTATTTTTTGTGAGCCTTTAAGAGAAAAAAATCATAGAATTGCACGATAATTGTGACAAGAGAAACCACTTCAGCGATCTCGCGTAGATTTTCTAAAAGGAGAGAGTGATGCTTCTAACGAATTTCCTCAAAACGATTCGAGACATAACGTTATCTGGCACGAAAGCAAATTTTATTAAATTTCATTGGAATTTTCTCTATTTCAAATAATAATAATAATAAAGTACCTTGTTTGTAACCAGTGTGTTAGTATTATTTGTCATATCTATATGTTTATTTGTTTTTAAATGACCCCCACCTGGGTGGGAGAAAAATGTGGAATTAAGAGAACTCCAACGATACACGAATCTCACAAATAGTTTGGTTTTTTTCGAATAAGAGAAATGTATGATACGAGTAAGAAGAAAATATTCAAATATTTTTTTCTAATTTAATCAGTAAATACAAATATTATAACTTACCTATTTGAGGTACGTCGTAGGGTCGGTTGGATCGCGAGGCGCGCAACATCATCTGGCTAGCGATCTCGGAGGGTAAGTGCGGAGTGCGCTTGGTGTTGCGCGAGCGGCGACGTTCAGTGCGCAGCGCGGGCGACAGCTGCGGCTGTTGGCGTTGTGCGTATACCGGCTCTGGCTCGAAGAGGTCTTGTAGTGGACGCGCATGCGCCACCTCGCGGCCACGCCACTCCGGGTACCGCCGTGGCGCCTCCGCGGCGGAGCGCAGCGCCAGCGCAGCGAGCACCGTTGTCACGCAGCACACCCGCATACTGACTCCCGCCCGCGCCCCCCACCACACGCACATCCCCCTCTACTAAGTACACCCAATGCGAGCGTACGTTGGGCGCATGCCCGACCACATTATTCGACCCCTCTCGTAGATCGGGTTTTTCTTTTTACGCCTTAACTCAATTATCCCCGAATGAGGAAAATGGTCGACGGATACGAGTCCTGAAACAAAGTTTGATTGCTATAAATATTTATTAGTATATGCAATAAATATACCTACATGCATGATATCAAAGTAACTTTTTTTACCTAAAATCATGAGCTTAACTCCAATATTAGAACATATGTGTTTTTTTAGGGATCAATAGATTCTTTCTTCTATTGACCACATCCATATTTAACTATCCATCTAAAATCTACGCTTTAATTTTATCTATGATATGGTTATAAGAAATATATACCCTCGTTCGTTATTTGATGTTGGATGGCATGATAAATTACAGAGGGGAGCCTAGCATGAGCTAAACCTGCTCATATGCTGAGCTAAACCTGCCCATATACATCTACATGTCATCTAAACTTTCGTTCCCGCTATCCCCCTTCTCCATACTTTGATGTTGTCCGACATTTTTCATTTCTTTTCTCTCAACCACCTCTCCCCTTTGTCTCTTCCAAGTTCAATCCTCCTTCCCCGGACCATTCAAGAGCTCTCGATCATACCAAATTCGAGATGCACCTCAACGCTTTCAGTAGAAATGTTTCGCAACTTTAATCCATAACAATTCCAAGGTACAACCAAACCAATACCGACATAACCAGGCTTATGACAATCAAAAAACGTATATAAAAAGAAATCAGTGGCTATCTCTTAATGATTAAAATCGGGAAAATAAAGATTACCTCTTTACTACCTTGGTTTATTTTCCTTTATGGATAAATATGATGATGGGGAAATAATAATAAACCCTCACATATTATTTCATTGAATTTTCCATGAATTTATTCCCTATCAAGGAGTATTGGATTGCTTTAAAATGTGGAATATGTATGATGATGATGATCTGATCTAGCTGATACAATGACAAAGCCTACTCAGCCATTGGATGTACCTGTAATCTAAAGGGAATAAATTAACTTTATATATGTTAAGAAATGCATTGCTAAGATTCAAACAAACTAAAAACGTTGTGCTGATAAAAATCGAAATAACAAACGAACTATATAACCAGACCAAACTTGAGACAATACAAATAATGACCCAACTTCATATACCGAGGTTTTATATAATAGTTTGCTGTTATTACAATCATACTAATAACCTAAATACGAACAATTTATAACGAAATATCCTGTAGGTATTGTAACAAGTAACGAGAATACAAATACGGACAAATAAAAATCACACATCCAAAAAGCTTCTTTCGTATTAGAACAAACGCCCTTAAACAAACTGGTTAATTGCCTGGCCCTATTTAGGGAATTATTTCACGCTTCGCTTGAATTTTTGATGGATGTGCGTGATGGTTACAAAAGTAAAAAGTACCACCAGTTCTTCCATATATTGGGATTGTTCACAGAACCGCTTGGGCAATTCAATGGGCATGTCAGTAAAAAAATATACTAAGTAACGGTAAACAAAACTAATTATTTTTCATCATTAAGTATTTTTAAATCTTTCAGTTAATTTGATTGATATAAGTAATACTGTAGATTTAAATATACAAGTCTGAAATTTTGATTTGATACATATGATCTGTGGTTGCGGTGTTAGAACCATTCAATTAAGTTATTAATTGAGATACAATTTTAAATAAGAAGACTATACAGGTAATCTTTGAAAAAACAGTTTTATAAAATTACTGAAACTATTATCCAAATCTTTCATTTCGTACGCAATAATAATTTGCATGATTACAAACAGCTTTAACTTAATAACTATTTTGACTTGAGGCATTACAGAAGTTTGTACGCTGTAAGTATAGCCAATAAAACACGTACAACGAATAATAACCGTTAAGGTTCAAAAATGTACAAAGTTTTTCAATAAAAACAAATTAGCTATGGTGTAGTCGTCTACGACGGGTTACTTCAAGAAACTTTCTCCTTAATATTATTTGTTAGTTAGATCGATTCTTTCAACTAAGATAACGTTAAACTGAACAAACAAAATCCATTGCGAGCCGTTAATTTAAAATAATTGTCAAAACACAATATAAAAATAAATATATTTCTCATTTTCGTAGTATATAGGTTTCATTAATTGTTTCTCAAAAAGTTGTAAACGACTTCAAACTTTTTAGGTGGCGGCTTTTGTATTGGAAAGAAAGGAGGTTTCATTTCTCAATAATTTCCTTATATTTTTTATTACAAAATAAGCAGAGTTAAAAAGTGTAACTTAGCGTTCAGATTTATTAGTATTTTTCACGGACTGTTTAATAGAAAATATCACATGCCACAGTTCTAAAATCATTAGTAAATAATAAAGGCAATCATATAGTACACAATATGGAAATGTTTTTATCGTCACATTTATTATAACCAAAATTTTATATAGTATAATAAATGAGGAATAAGTTTACATAAAGCATCTCAGTTATAGAGAGGGCGACCTATTATAGATAACCCTACCTTAAAATTGGTCAAGTATTCAAATAAAACCCTTATTAAAATATTATTGTACAGCGCAGCGGCGCGGTTCGTCTACACATTACTAGATGGCGTTGTTTATATATGTATGTAATGGGATGGCGAGAAAGGGTAATATTGTAGGTGCTTTCACCGGTAGTGTCGAGGAAACACCTAGAACGTTCTAGATCCTAACCTAAAACATTCTAGATGTGGTATAAGTCCCTATAAATACGCGGTGTACCTACTACCCGCCCCGGCATTCTTCAGTGAACAAGCGATCTGAAAGCAAGAGCGATCGAAAGTGAAACTCGAAGCGATAACTAGAGCGGTAAACGATCTAAATGTTGTTAGTGACGTGACATAATGAAGTTGAAGTGTGAATTTTGTTTTATTGAGCTAAATAAAGTCGGATTTGCAATAATTTTTATGCCGAACCCAAAGTCGTAACAATACTAAAGAGTATATTACGAGTAAATTACAAGGTCAGGGATGGTACTCTGAAAACCAATTTTCGACATATCAGCTTCACCGTGTTTTCCCACTCTATAACATTAAAAATACGTAAACAAGAGGAGAATAAACGACACAAATCGTCAATTTCTATCAAATGTCGATGTTAAGAGCACAGGGCTTGCGCACAACCCAAATTAATGAGTCTAGAAACTTTAAAATTTTCGCAGGCGTCCATTAATATTATTATTTTTATAGATTTTCTGGGGCATATGAACGACATGGGTTATAAATAAAAAAAAATTATATGTAAAATTTAAATGTAAATAAGTATATGTTTTGTAATAGCAACTCAATTTCACTTTTATGTTAGAAATCATATATTTCAATGGGCATTACTATAAACGGCATTTAAGCAATTCAGTGTGACAAATATTAACTTATTTTATCTATCTACATATAAACGGCAAAGGTGACGATCTATCACAGCCCAAACTAATAGAGAAGACGAGCTGAAATTTAAACTCTGTTGTTAAAATACTTATCGTAGAGTTTCGCTAAGAAACGATTTTGAAAAATGCACTGCTTAAATGGTATGGATATCAAGGAATTCTCGTGAACGAAGCAGCAGAACAGAGAGCCGGCAGTAAGTAAGGGAGATAATCAAATCTTTATGACTTTAAGTTCGAAAAGTAATGTTCATAAATTCCGCTCAATATTTTTTGTTGTAACCACTTTAACTCAGAATATGAAGTACTATTCTGTAAAACATCCAGCGTCTAACACCACTTCGAGAACGTTATCACAACATAAAGGTTCAATTAAGTAAAACCGAATTGTAAAGGTAATAAAGGTATAACAGTGATATGCTGGATGTCGATTTCAATGTTGATTTTGATACAGAATAAGAAAGCTGATCAACCTATTTTTTTAAATATTGTGTCAACTATTTTAAAACGTTTTGTATTAGAGTTAAATTAATATTGTTTACCTACATGATATAAACGATTTTCAATACGTAATAATAAAAAACCTTTTCTACAAATAATTCTTCTAAATCATGATGACGTACCGAAATAATTCAGTACTAACGATAGTGACGTATAATTTCATTTAAGTAAGACGTCTATCCATCATCGCTTATTAATAATTTCAGCAGAAACAGCGCTTAATGACTAGCCCATTTCAGGGATAGCTATGTACTTGTTATTTAAACATAAATCATACCTGGTGAATCCATATATTTAAACATTATTATTGTATATACGTACTTGTAATAATAAATAATAATTAGATATACGACATTTTATTACCAGATTTATTACAAGCACTTTATAATCTTAGTATAGATAATTAAAATGTGATACGAAAAACGCCATCTGCAGGCAAATGTTAATTCTCCATTTAATATACATACATAAGCAACTACTAAACCAAAGACTTGTGGTCAAATAAAGGAAAATAGGAAAATGACAATTTTCCATTTACTACGCCTTTGGTTTGCAGTTTGACAAAATATTATCAATGCACTCCACCACCCATAACTTTTTTCTATGTAACTTTTAAATATTTAAAAGAACCTATTCATACCTTTTTTTAAATAATTTAGATGGCACCGGTCTAGTTACACCTAATAATATGAATTATATCAGACTTCTGCGAAAATATAGATAACGGAATTCTGACGCTTAGTACATCTACATAATCAATTAATAATAAAATGCGCTCTAATTTACAGCTTAGTGTAGCGTGTTGTGATTTCTCTATTAAATGACGAACCTATCTATCTAGCAGTTGGTCAATAATATTTAACATATTGGGAGAGCGGTATGACATGTAACTTGTCATTTATACACTAAAATATACATATTGTTTGGGGCACTCGCTCACTATTTGCTTATTAATTAAATTTGAACAAAGTAAAAGCATTATTTTATTTAAATAAACTATGAGATATTTCAAGTACTTAAATAATTCATTTGAGACAAGAAGTACTTC